AGGGCAGATTTCTCTTTCACTCAAGTCCTCACTGGCCACTCGGCTCCTTGTAGGAGCCTCTGGGTTGTCCCAACTTCTTGTCCCATCTTCACTTCCAATTCTAAGCCTCTCAAAGGTAGGGACGGCAGCCACGTGTGGTGACCCACGTCTGTAACCCCAGTGACTCGGGAGTCTGCAGCAGGAGGCGCACAAGTTTGAGGCCAGCCTGGACAACTTAGTGAGACCCTGTCTCAAAAACTAAAAAGGGCCGGGATGTGGCTGGGGTGGAGCCCCCCAGGTTCAGTCCCCAGAACCACCAACAATTAAAAAGGAAGGGACAAGGGGACTGCATGTAGAATCCTGAGGGTACGCCGGTGCTGTGGGTCGTGTCTGAGCCCAGTGGTGACGTCCTCTCGTGGTGCGAGCTGGGCGGTCCTCACATGTCGGCTGGCTCTCTGCCCACCCAGGGTCAGTTTGGGAGGCAGAGACTCAGATGCTGTGGTTTCCTCAAGGTCACTCGGCCAATAGGAACCCCCATGCCGGCTGGTGACACAGGACCTCTGGGGCCGGCTCTCCTCTCTGGGCTCCGAGTCCTGTGGGACACCAGGAGGGGCCTGGTACGACCTTCCTCTCGAGCCACAGCCGGTCTTTGGCCTCGAGTGGAGCCTGGCTGCTCTGGGGACAAGGGGGAGGGGGAGGGCTGAAAGTGAAGGCCACAGCGTTGTCCTGCTGCCTGCTCCCAGGACAGCCCAGCCTGGCTGGGAGACCAGTCGCTGATCTGTGGCCCTAAGGGCAAGTCCCGCCCACCCAGTGCCTCCCGGGACAACGCAGGGGGCAGGAGGGAGGGGCTGGGAGGGAAATGGAGCTGGATTGAGCCCTGGAGGGTCAGTTCTCCTGGGGTATTGCCCGGGGGCCTTCTGGCAGGACACTCTTAGCTTCTACCATGCCTGGCGTGGGCTTGGCCTCCAGAGGTGCTTGGCGAGTGTCTGCCACCTCAGTGGAGGGGTGAGTGAGCGTGTGCATGGGTGTGGAAGAGCCAGGGCCTGGGCCTTGCTGTCTCAGGATTTTTTCGGGGCGCCGTGGGATGCTGGGGGTTGACCCAGGGATGCTCCACCGCCCCAGGCCTTTCATTTTATTTTGAGACAGGGTCTCACCAAGTTGCTGAGGCTGGCCTCGAACTTGTGACCCTCCTGTCTAAGCCTCCTGAATCAGTGAGATTACTGGCCTGTGCCAGGGCGCCCTCAGCTTCCTCTCAGTACCGCTGTGCCCAGGGCACTGGGGTTGACACCTTGGCCCGGGCCACCTCAGAGCTGTGTGACCTGGTACAGATTGCTTCCCCTGTCTGGGCCCATTTCCTCATCTGTGAAATGGGGCTAAAAATAGACACCCGCCCTGCAGAGCCTGCTCTGGGGGTGCACCCAGATGAGGGCCCCAGGGCACGCGGGGTGTGGCCCAGAGGGGACACTTGGAAAATGCTCGCTGTTGGTCTTGGTACCAAGGTGCACATTGCTATTTCTGAACTTCCCCCTCCCGCTGGTTGGGGGGCTCCCAGACACCCCCTGCAGCCAGACAGGCAGAGAGAGGTGACAAAAGACAGTCAGGACCAAAGGCCCCAACTCCCTGTTCTTTTAATAAAAATAAAGATGGCCTGCAGACATCCCTTTCTCATTGTTCTGCCAAGGCAGGCAGCAGGCCCGTCCCTCCTTGGACTGGGGAAGTTCCTTCCTTTCTTTCCCGTCCCCTGTCACATTTCCTTTATCTAAATCCTCAGCTATGAAAGGGCATATCGACAGCTGGGGGGCGTTATCTGGTGGATGGGACCTTTTCCTCGGGTGTCTCTGAGATAAGGTGTCTTATCAGCCCCCGTGTCAGGGACGGTGCCAAAGCATTCTAATCATTGAGGCTTGCGACATTTTTCCTCCCTCCCTCTCACCCCCCTTTTTATTATTAAAACCACAAAAGACCTTGAGCTTATAAACAGTCTGATTTGCAGATAGGATTTCAAAATGAGCAGCTCTCTGGATGGTCCCCAGCCAAGCTGGGGGAGTAATGAATCCATGTGGGGATGCTGGGGGACTGGCAGTCTGCAGCTGGGATGGTGCCAGGCAGTGAGGGGGGTAGGGTGGGGGTCAAAAAGATCATGAGTGCTTTAAGTGCCCACCCAGTCCTGTCCCTGGCTTGCCGTGTGGCCTGGTACAGGAGGCTTGGCTTCTCTGGGCCTCAGTTACTTCACGTGCAAATAATCAGTTCATTGATGGAGCCATTCAGTTGACACCTGTTTATTAAATGATCACTCTCTGCCAGGTACAGGGGACAGAAAAACAAATAAGACACGCACAGTCCAGTAGCCAGAAACAGATGTGAAAATTGGCCATTGCAACGGGGTGTGATCAGGGCTGTGGTGGGAGCCAGGACCCAGAGAGGCAGATCTGAGCCGAGATGGGTCTTGGTGGCAGCGCAGTCCGCCCAGGGGCCACACAGGTGACTGTCTGGAGGCCTGGGTGGCTAGCAGAGGCCAGGGAGACGGGTGGGCAGGCCTAGGGCCTTGTGTGCCCAGTGGAGACGGTCAGGCTGGGTTTGAGGCCCAGGAGAAGGTTCCGGCTTGTCTGGTTTGCAGGTGTCCACTGGTGTTCCGTTGGGACTGCCCTGGAAAGGCCAGGTGAGGCCTTACCTTGGCCACCAACTCCTCCCAGAAATCCCCTCTGGCCCCTGAGCTCAGTCGCCTGGTCCCTATCACTCTCTGCACTGCCCGGGCGTCCACTGCTACAGCTCCGGGACAACCAGAGCCCCTGGGGTGCGGCCCTGGGACCCTAAGGGGCTCCGGGGGAGGCAGCCTGAGCCTGCGGTGTGGTCCCTGCAGCACTGGGGCCAGGTCTGGAGAGGGACTGAGTTTCTGGCACCTGGTGAACAGCTGCAGGTAGAAAGAAAATGACCTGGGGGTCCAGAGGGACCATGGAGTGACTTCAACAAGCCAGAGAGGGGCAGTAGCCCTCCTGGGGTCGCTGAAGGGCTGGGATGGAGGACACTCAGTCTCCCGCCCAGGTCCACGGCCAGTGCCTTCCTCCCCTGCCCAGCACTGTCCACCGTGGGCGGCAGCAGAGCCTTGTGGTGAAGGTCAGGCTCCCCGGCGCTGCTCTGGGTGCCCTGGGCTGGGCATTGTCCCTCTCTGGTCTGCGTTTCCCATTTGTTAGAAGGGTGGGCGCAGGCTGGCTTTCTCTGGCTCTCCCCACAGCCCCCAGTGCCTGAACAGGAGGGCAAGAGGTGGCCACCTCTTGGAGCGGGAGGTGGCTGCCCAGCCTCCCTGTGGACCTCCTCCCTGCAGGTGCCCAGGAGGGTGTCACGGGCCCTGAGCGGGAGCAGAAGCCCAGCTCTGGGTGGGGCGGAGCATGCCTGGCTGTGTCCTCCAGGCCTGTGTCCAGGGACACAGGAGCAGTGGCCCAAGCCAGGCCTGCTCCCGCCACCTGCTCATGTCCCAGGTCCCAGAGGGAGCAGTGCCGCGTGCCACTGTCAAGGACTTTCCTCCCGCCATCAGCCCACTTCACTCCCTTTTGAAACTGTGTCATTGCTGCTGATTGTAATGGCATATTTTAAAATTACCAGAAATCAAAGCCGGGAAGTGGATACTGCGGCTCTGAGGGCCTCGCTGGCGATCGGGGAGGGGGGAGGCTCCCCTCCCCTCCCCCACGCCACCCCCCTCTCCCCCCCCCTCTCTCTCTCTCTCTCTCTCTCTCTCTCTCTCTCTCTTTGAGACAGTAATAGGAGAAAATTGGTTTTGAAACTGAATAAAAGTCCCTTTCAGAGGAAATCATTTCTTTCAGGGTACCTTGGCTGAAAGTAAAATAGAACATAATGAAAGGTGGTTACTGATTGTCTTTCACGTACCAAGAGGCCGGGGACAGACGGAGGCTGCCACCGTCTCGGGGAAATACAAGATTGGAATAATTGCGCCCTAACAAGGAGCTTGTTGTGAAATTAGTATCTTAAGAAAGTGGCGAGAAAAGGCTTCTCCTCATGAATACTTCATTATTAGAAGAAAGCGGCGGGATTCGGGCTCAGACACCTGTTTAGTATTAAATAACTCCCCTCTCCCTGCGGCGCCCCTCCCCTCCTTTCCTTCTCTTTTCAAACCAACATGAGGGTGGAGGTGACCTGGCCCAGCTGCTGGGGACCTAGCCTGGGAGGGGATGGCCCGCCTGGGTGGCCCTTAGGGGTGTCCCAGGTTGAGCTCACACCTGGACCGGCCTTCTCCACGGAAGGCAGGCAGGCAGGCAGGGAGGGAGGGAGGACAGGCCTGGCAGGAAACCGTCCACTTCTCCTGGCGGCCTACCAGGAGGCCTGTCCACACCCCGCTCCTCAGGGGCTCCTGGGAACGTGCCTCAGCCTCCAGTGTCCTGCACATCTGGCCGCCACCTCCAGGGGAAGGACTGCCTGGCGGAGCAGGGCTGCCGAGGGTGACAGAGATTGGGCTCAGAGCAGCCTTGGGGGCCTGTGGCGCCACCAGGTACCCCCCAGCTTCTCACATCCCGGGACCTCTACTCCCGTGGCCCTGGGAGGATCCCCCAAGTAGGGACCAGACCAACACCTAGACCCAGTGGGACGGTGAGAGGCCCCTGGGGTTTCCAGGGCAGCCCTGGGTAGATTGCAAAGATGAGCAGATGCAGGGAGCGTCCCTCCCCTGGGTCAGCGGACATGCAGGGTCACGTGCAGCTGGAGTCCACCACCACCAGGACAGGACAGCCTGCCTTGGGACACACAGGGCAAGGATCTGTCCCATCTCTAGGGCTGTCAGGGCAGCCGGCTAGAGGAGGGGACCTGCAGAGGCACACCTGCCTCGTCCTGGAGGGAGGGAGACACCCCTCAGGAGGCCACAGGAGAGCTTCCATGCGCGGCCTGGTCTCACTTGCCCGTGGGGAAGGGATGTCTGCCTTGAGTCTCCCTGGTCTTGCAGGATGCTGGGAGGGTGGTGGAGGTGGGCATGGGGTTGTCCTCCAATGACAAGCACCTTGTCTCCCTCCCCACAGGGACCCTGCTGCAGAGCGCACCCGGCGGGAACCCCGGCACAGCCATGCTGGCCTGTCTGCAGAGGACCCAGAACCCTCCCGGCCAACACCTGGCCTGCCCAAGCAGGAGCCTGGAGCTGCGCAAGTGTGAGTGTCCTCGCCCAGCCTCCGCGCCCTCTCCCTCTGCCTGCTCTGAGTCCACGGGCTTGCTTTCTGTTCCTCAGGCTTCCAGGAAGCAGGTCCTGGCCTAGGAATATCATTTGCGCCCCTGATGCCAGCCAACTCCATCTTTTTGGGGATTGAACTCARGGGCGCTCTACCCCTGAGCCCCATGCCCAGCCCTACTTGGCATTTTATTTAGAGACAGGGTCTCACTGAGTTGCTTAGCGCCTCGCTTTTGCTGAGGCTGGCTTTGAACCGGTGATCCTCCTGCCTCAGCCTCCCGAGCTGCTGGGATGACAGGCAGGAGCCACTGTGCCCATTACCCAACCCCATCTTAAAGCCTGTGTGTTCTCTGAGGCCTCTAAGCCTTTGCCCATGCTCTGCTGTCCCCTGTGGGGGGGCCTCCCTCCCCACAGTGACACCCACTCCCTGTCTGGCCGACTCCCACGGGGCACGGCCTAATCTCCTTCCCTGAAGACTCTCTTCCCCGCACCCACACCCGCACCGAGACCCAACCTCGCTCTGGGACCCACCGCCCAGCACGTCTGTGTGGCTCTCTCTCATTTTCCTGCATTAACAGAAGGTAGCACAGCCCTGCAGCCAGAATCATCCTGGACAGGAGCCCGGCCCCGGGCCTCTCTCATTGGCTGTGAGGTCTTGAGCATGTCCTTTCCCTGGGTCTTGCTTTGTCAATGTATCAAATTAGGGAGCTGGACGTGGTGACCTTCAGGCGGTCTGTCCTCCTTGACCATTGAGCACCAGGTTACTAAACTCTCTGACAATTTTTAGCCTCTACAGGGTTTTTTTTTTTTTAATTTTTGAAGTACCTGGAAACAATTCAAAACAGGGAGATTTGCATAAAGATCTGGATTCTAGTGTTTCCTGGAAAACCTCAGAGGATCTGGTGACATGGGCCTGTGCAGCTGCTGGTTAGAGCTCAGCTGCTGCCTCTTTCAAGGCGCCATTCACCTCCAGCTCGCCACAGTCCCCACCGAGCCCTATCGCTTCTCCTGGAGCTAAGCGTCGGTTGTCACATGACGCTTCACATTTTTCTTGTGTCTGCTCATCTCTAGACGAGGTGGCCTTCTTGTCCAGTATTTACAAGGAAGGAAGGGTGTGCAGACAGAGCTGCCCTCTGCCAGAGTTGGCCAGTGCCATCAGCTTCCTGTGTGTCCTCCCGGATGTGCTGTGTCCCAGCAGACGTGTGTGCGTGAATGTTTTACACATCGTCTTGCACCCTCCTGCTTTTTTTTAGTTGTAGATGAACACAATACCTTTATTTATCTTATGTGGTGCTGAGGATCGAACCTAGGGCCTCAGATGTGTGAGGCAAGTGCTCCACCACCGAGCCCCAGCCCTGCACCCCACTTCATTCCTATATGTCCGCTTCTAAAGAGCTTCCTCATTCTTTTGCTGCATAGTTCTGCCTGGCAAGGGTGGACCACAGTTTATTTGGCCAGTCTTCTATGTAGACGTGCCCCACCCATTGCCATTTTGAAGAAAGTGGCAGTAAACACCCTGTGTCACAGGCTGCGAATGCACTGCACATACTGGGGTGGAGGTGTGTGCCTTTGTGATTTTAACAGATGTGGTCTGATATCTTTAGATGTCATTTCACAGACACTCATCTCCTTGGTCCATGTTTTCCACTCGGGGGTTGTCTTGTCCTTTCTTATTGATTTGTAGGAGTTCTTTGTATATTATGGAATTAGACCTCTGTCTTGTCGTTTGTCTTTGGTTCAACCATGGCGGGATTTTCTTTGAGAAGTGAGATTTGTCAGTATTTCCTTTTATGATTTCTGGATTTTGCATCACGTTTACCAAGTCCTTCCTCCAGCTAAAATAGTAACAGTAATTACTGTTATGACATTATAATAATAGTAATTAAAATTATTATCATTATTATTTGAGAGGAGGTCTCAAACTTGTGGGCTTAAGTGATCCCCCCACCTCAGCCTCCCAAGTATCTGGGATGCAGGTGCACACCACCATGCCCAACTTGAGATTATTATTAAAAAAAAAAAAAAAGGAAGAATTCCCTCAAGTTTTCTTCTAGTTCTAAGCCCCAGTCCTATTTGGTATTTTATTTATAGACAGGGTCTCACTGAGTTGCTTAGGGCCTCGCTGTTGCTGGGGCTGGCTTTGAACTCGTGATCCTCCTGCCTCAGCCTCCTGAGATGCTGGGATTACAGGTGTGTGCCACGTGCCCAGCTCTCTTACATTTTTTTTTAAATATATGATCTATATATTTTCAAAAGCTCCATCTATTTTTATGGTATTTTAAAAAATACCTGGTCTCTGTTTTGTGGTTTATCTGGAATGAAGGGTGTGACGTGGATCCCACTGGATTCAGATATCAGTGCGACACTGTTTTCATTACTGTGGTGTTATGATACGTTTGAACAACTGAGCGGCTCTATTGAGATAGGATTCACATACCATTTACCCATTTGAGGTGTCACAACTCGGTGGTTTTTAGTATGCATCGAATGGTGGACACCACCACTATTTTAGAATATTTTCATAACAAGAAGAAACTCCATGCCCATGGACAGCTTGTCCCCCACCTTGTCCCCCACGTCCCCCACCTGCCCCCTCTTCCTCGACAGATTTCCCGATTCTGAACTTTCCTCAGTGTGAACTCAGATAGTCTGTGGTCTTTTTGGCTCCTGGCTTCTTTCACTTAGGGTGATGTTTTTAAGACTCACCCAGGTTGTAATCTGCATATAATACATGTTTCTAAAATTATCTATTTATCTTATGTGGTGCTGAGGATCGCCCAGGGCTTCACACATGCCAGGTGAGCGCTCTACCAGTGAGCCCCAGCCCCAGCCCTAGAATATATTATAATATATGGTGGAGCTTGTTGCTCCTTGTTATTCCCACCTCCGAATCTCCAGCTGTATTTATTTTCCCGTCTAGACTATGGAATCCATTTATAGAGGAAAAACAAAAATCCTGTTTTTTACTGGTATTACATTATACTTACAGATGAATCTGTGAAGAAATGTCCATTTTACAAGGCCATCTTTTCCTCCAAGAATGTGCTACGCCTTTCGGTTTTATTTGGAATTCCTTTTGATGTTTGCCTCATTTAGATCTTGCACATTTTCTGGTTATGTTCACTTCTGCGTAGGTTTAGCTTTTTTTGATTCATTTTCTTCTTCCATAAGTGGAGGCTGTTTCTAGGAAGGCTGTTAACTTCGGCCACTTTACTGAATTCTTTTTATTGTTTATAATGGCTTTTCAATTTTGTCTCTGGGGTTTTCAGTTTATCATTGCAAATGATAAATTTGCCTACTACTTTGTTCTATCCCTTCATTTCTTTGTTTTATCTCATAGAGTTGGCTGTTGCCCCTGGAACAGTGAAAGTAATGGTGGTAATGCACATTCTTACTTTGCAGTTCTAGATATGTCTCCATTGAGGAAATGTGACTTTGGGCAGGTATTTTATTGGATGAAGTAAGTCTTCATCTAGTCCTGTTTTGTTAAGGCGTATTAAAATCAAAAGCATATGTTGAACTTTGCCAAATGATTTTTTCATTTTATGAAAATGACCATGCGGTTTCTTTAAACTATTAATACAAAGGACACTACTAGAGTTTTTCATATTGAACCATCCTTGCATTCCTGGTTGAGCTCCACTTGGTCATGGGACCTTTATTATTATTATCATTTTTTATAAAATACTTGCTGGGTTGGGTTTGTTATTTTACACAGACTTTTGCTTCAGTTTCATCAGAGATTGTTATTTTTCTGAAATGATCTTTTGTTGGGTTCTGCTGTCTGCAGTCTTTTTCCTGTGCTTTGGGACAACTTGAACAGACATGAGATGATCTGTTCTTTAAAGGTTGGTTGGTTCCCCCATGAAACTGTCTGGAATAGTGCATTTATTTCTGGTGGGTTGGTAGCTCCTTGATGCTGTCTTCTATTTCTTCTGCAATAATTGGTTAGTTTTAGTTGTCCTACTGCCTCTTGAATGAATTTGGTAAATTATGTTTGTCTTAAAAACTATCCATTTTATTCAGGTATGCGTGTATGTCTTTTTATAGTCCTAGGGATTGAACCCAGTCCCTTGCACATGCTACTACTAAACTACATCCCCAGCCCTTTTTATTTTGAGACAGGGTCTCACTAAGTTGCCCAGGCCGGCCTGGGGCTTGCCATCCTCCTGTCTCAGCCTCCCCAGTAGCTGGGTTTATGGGCGTGCATCACCATTCCCCACTCAGGTTTTCAAATTTGTTTCCATGAGACTAAATAATTTTTTTTAGTTCTTTCAAGTGGTGATTTTTATCCTTCTCTCTTTCGTTCTTTCTTATTTCAGTACTGGGTGTCAAACTGAGGACCTTGCACATGCGAGGCAAGCCCTTTACCACTGGGCTACATCCCCAGCCCCATCTTAATTCCTTTATTGTGTACTTTGTGCTTTGTCCTCATTTTTCTTGATTGGGTTAGTTAGCTAATGATATTATCTATATCCCTTCCCCAAAGATCCATCTTCAGGATTTTTTTTTTAGTAATTATCTTTTTCTGGTTTATAATTCATAAATTTATACTTTTAGCTCTATTAAGACTTTCCTTCTGTTTTCTTTTAAATTTTATTAAGTTACTTAAATCTTTACACTTATAAACAGAAAAAAAAAAACAGGAAAAATTAAGGCTGTCTCTGAGCCCTTTAGCCATGTCCTGTAGGTTCTCATATGTCATGTTTTCAATTTTATCATTTTCTAGATACTTCAACATTTTGGTTTAAGACTCATTCGAGCCCCACACGTCTATTTAGGTAGTAGATGCTTTTCAATGTTTCTGATTTCCAGCATTTTATTTTATTTTGCATTATGAACAAAGAATCTTATCTATTTCTGCTTGTTTGGAACTTTATGGAAGTTTTCTGTGTGATATAATCTTCAGTAATTTTTGTGTATCACATGGATTTTTTTTTAATGGGGACTTAAAAAAAAGGTGTGGCCCTGCTTTTGGGATTC